CGGGGCAGCTCCAAAGGCTAAGAAGTAGAATAAGAAAGTGTTAATACATCTTACATTTTAAGTTAACAAAAAATATTTTTAAAATGTTTTTATTTTATGTGTATGAGTGTTTTGCCTACATGTATATAAGTGCATCATGTCGTTCAGTGCCCATATAGGTCAGAAGAGGGCATTGGATCCCCTGGAACTGGAGTTATGGACTGTTGTTAGCCATCATGTGGGTGCTGGGAATCCAACCCAGATCCTCCGCAAAGCAGCCAGTGGTCTTAACCACTGAACCATCTCTCCAGACTCCATCAACAAAAAATATTTTAGTAAAAAATTCACAGAGTTGCTCAAGACTTAATCATTGAATTAAACATTCCTTTAGCATAATGCTAAAAGGGCCCTCCCAAGACTTAAGCACTGGTTAAAGCAAGTGCAGTGACCATATGCAGTTGCAGGCGTACTTTGTGAGTCATATGGTAAATAGTGTTGCAGATGTTTTGCAAAAGGGCCATGGAAAAGGAACATGATAGGATTGGTCATTCCAGAAAGAAAGTAGCCAGAAGCAAGTCTTCATGGTTAGTTACACTGTGGACTAAGACTGGAAATACAGCACAGTGGTATAGCACTCATCGAAGCATATACCGTGTCCTAGGGTTAATCCCTGTACTACCAAAAAAAGGTTAAGGTTAGTAAATTTAATATAAGAACTACCTATATCTATCTGTCTGTCTGTCTGCCTGTCTATCGCTATAAGAAACTGTCATAATGAAACCCATTTCTTTATATGCTTAAATAATTATTTTTATTTTTTGAGAATTTCATACATACAGTGTATTCTGATCATAATCTCCACCTACTCCCTCCTAACTTCTCTCAAACCCACCCCTCACCCCCTTACCCCCTCCCAACTTCGTGTCCCCCCACCTTCCTCCCCACCATTTTTTGAAAAGAAAGAACCTACTAAGTCCACTTTGTGCTGCCCATATACTTAGGGCCTGCCATCAACCACTGGATGTTGATCACTTACCAGGGACAACACCCCTAAAGAAAACTGATTCTCCCTTCCCCCAGAAGTCATCAGCTGTCAATAATGCCTCAGCCGGGGTACCAGGAAGTCATCACTGTCAGTAGCACCTCAGTTAGGGGTGGGGGCTCATGAACCCCTCCCCCCTCCATGCTGGAATGTTAACTGGTTTGATCTTGTGCAGGCAACCACAGCTGCTTTGAGTTTATGAGTATAGTAGTCCTATCATGTCCAGAAGACATTACTTCACTCCAGTCCTTCCCAACCTCTGACTCTACAGTCTTTCCATCCCCTCTTCTGAGGAGGTCCCTGAGCCCTGAGAGGAGGGTATGATATACATGTTTCATGTATAGCCAATCACCCCACACATATCTATTCTTGCACTTTGACCAGTTGTGAATTTCTGTGTTAGCTACCATGTACTGTATGAAGAAACTTCTCTGATGAGGTCTAAGAGCTGCACTAACCTATGGTCAGAGAGAGATGAATTTAGAGGGACTTTTGATACTATGCCCATTTAGCAAAATAATAGAAGTAGGTTCACTCCTGGGGCCTATAAGCTCCTTAACCATAGGTCCTTTGACTTACCAGGCATGTGTTTCCTCCTGTGCAGTAGGCCTTAAATCCAATCAGAAATCGGTTGGTTATCCCCTATAACATTCACACCACTATTGCACCTATGAGAATATCTTGCCACACTGGTAATTATTGTTGTTCACAAGATTTACATCTGGGTAAGACTGTTGATAACGTTTTTCTTCCAGCCTGCGTAGTAGCTTCTGAAAGCTAGCCAGCTGGGAGGAAGCTTGTGGATCAGTCCTAACTTGATTTTATCATGTACTGTGACCAAAGGGTATGATATCTTCAGCAATAAGGCTGCAATGGCAATAGCCTGCATTGTTTTGGGGATCTCTGCTAAACCTTCAGCAGTAAGGTTCAGCAATGGTGATAGCCTGTATTGTTTTGGGGCTTTGGTACTCCTGAACAGCTTCTTGAAGGGAGGTACCCCACAACTGGCCCTGGGCTTTTTATTTGGCAACCTAAAGCTTCTCAAAATTTCATTTTTAAATATAGACTCTAGCTGAATGTGGTGACTCATTCCTGTAATCCAGCATTCAGGAAGCTGAGACAGAAGGACCATGAGTTCAGGGCCAGTCTGTACAACACTTTGCGTTCAAGGCCAGCCTATGCTATATAGTGAAAACTTGTCTCACCTCCCTTTAAGAAAATGTGGACTAGCAGAGGTTAGGGTTGTAGGCCATTCCCAGTGAAGTAACCACACAGTGGGAATATGAAGAGAATGTTGACAGTTATGACAGTATTTTATGAATGGCATTCAGAATTTGTAGAACATGTTAGGAACATGGGACAGTAAGACTGAAAACAGATTAGGGTAATTTTAGATGGTGTTCACCTTTGGAGTTTATATGAGGTTCTGTTTGAAGCATCATGCACACATTAACTCACAGCATGAAAAGATCTGTTTATTTAAATGGTCTTGCCCATAGGCAGACTACAGTGGGAAAAAGCTATACATCCAGGAGATCCCTTAGGAAACTGTTGTCTTGGTATAAAGTGTTAGGAATTGTAATGGTGTGGGCTGGCGTTTTAGTTGTGGAAATTGGACAGGAAGGCTAAAGAAACATTTTTGAGATAAAATTTGTAGAGCTTTTAGAACTAGGAGGTCTTTTTCAGATATCTAAAGTATGGCATAAATTGCTAAACTAAGTATAAGGAAAGAAAGAAGGGTTGGGTTGTAGCTCAGTAGTAGAGTACTTGCCTCTCATGAATGAGTCCTTAGAGCCAATCCCTAGTGCTGCCCCCCAAAAACTCTACAACAGGAGGATGATATTAATCACAGTGAGATTATGTGTGAAGATTCTTGGGAGGTGTAACGTGGTAGTTAGGAAAATGCAGTTCAAAAGTTAGAGTAGATGGTTCTGGATCATGTATGAGTAGAACCTGAGACATGCTTGATGCTAGCTAGGGAGAAGAGGACAGGTTAGAAATAGAGAAGGCTACAGAAGGAGCAGTCAGCATAGGGAGCACAGGAATCACATGGAATCATATCTGCAGAGAGGACACAGTGCTGGTGATTAATGGTGCAGGCAAGCAGAGAAGTGCACAGGGTTTTTGGAGTGAGGAAGGGAATACTTATAGGTAGGAGGATATTTCTTTCTAGAAGTTTCATAGTGAAGGAGAGTACAGGACTCCCAGCTCTGACTCCTCCTCCTCTTCCTTCTCAAGCATTGTCTTGCTATGTAGTCCAGGCTAGCATCAAACTCTCAGCCTTTCTGCTTCAGCCTCCCAAATGCTGAGGTTGCAGGCATGTGCCCCCATACCACTTTAGGATTGTATTGATCTGGTGTGTGTTACGCAGTGTGGCTACTCTACAGCACTGCTTACTGCTTACTCTGTCTTTTCAAGGAAGAAGGAAAGGCATGATCTGATTTCTTGAATTTTGAGGACATTTTCTTTTTCTTAAAAATGCTCAGGCATGTTGTGGTGGCACACACCAAAGAGGGTGGCAGCTCAAGACTAGCTACATAGAAAATCCTTTCTGTAACTCTGGTTCCAGGGGATCCGACAGCCTCTTCTGTCCTCTGTGGGCATTGCACAACACGGGTGCACTTACCAGCATGCAGGCAATACACACATATACATAAAATAAAAATGCTAAAATATTTTTTAAAAATAAACAAAAAAATAAAAAAAGATTTTCGTGCTGGCGTGGTGACACGTGCCTTTAATCCCAGCACTCGGGAGGCAAAGGCAGGCAGATCTCTGTGAGTTCAAGGCCAGCCTGGTCTATATAGTGAGTTCCAGGACAGCTGGGGCTACAGGGAGACCCTGATTCAAAAAGACAAAAAAAAAAAAAGAGATACAGATGAAACAACAAAACCATATATAACTATTTAACTCCTGGTACATGTAGTGTATAGTTTATAGAGCTAACCCATTTCCTCCTCATGTCTTTAATATGAGAAACCATGGGTCAATGATAAAATTAATAAGATTCTGGTTTCTGTTTCAGAGTTTATTTCCTTTGTTGCCTAGCCTACTTCAGAACTCTACTGAGGAAGAAAGTGCCCTCAGCCTCAGAACATTTAATTTTGAATAAATTGCTCTGATTTTCTGACTTGAATATATTTAACATAGATGGAGGGGTAACTTATCTGAGCAATCACTAATATAGACTCTCCAAAATGTCAGCATAATTTTATACTAGAACAATTTCAGAGATTCCTGTGCTTCAAACTTACTAGACATTTTTTGAAATTTTTTTAGTTACTTTTGTATTGCTGTGACAGAATACCTAAAAGAACATTGTAAGGGTGGAAAGTTTTATTTTGGCGCACAGTTTTGGGGTATTTCATGGTGGGAAAAGGAGACTTGATGGAGGTAGGAGGCTTTTTGTGCTGGTTAGTTCTATTGTCAACTTGACACCCTTAGAGATACCTAAGAAAAGGGACTCTCATTGAGGAATTACTTAGATCAGATTGGCCAGTGGGCATGTCTGTGGGGCATTTACTTGAATGCTAATTGATGTAGGAGGACTTAGTCCACTGTGAGTGGTACCGTCTTTAGGTAGAGGTTTCTTCCCTGTATAAGAAAGCTAGCTGAGCAGCAGATAAAGGGCAAGCAGGAAAGTAGTGTTCCTCCACAGTTTCTGCTTCAGTTCCTGATTGAGTTCCTGTCCTGACTTCCCTCAATGATGGATTATAACCTAGAAATGTAAGCTGAATAACCCCCTCCCCCTAGTCAAGTTGCTTTTGGTCATGGTTTTTGTCACAGCAATAGAAAGCAAGCTAGAACACGCCCCATGATTGTGGACCAGAAAGCAGAGGCAGCTGTAACCAGGGACTGAGCTAAAGTCTGGAAAAGCCTTCTCCCATGGCCAACTTCTGCCAGCTCCTCACTACCTCCTAAAACTTCCAGAGCATCATAGACCACCACCAGCAGCTGGGGAACAACAGGGAACATGCCACATGTTAGCTTGTCAGTGACATCTCACATTCAGACTGTATCAATGTATTTATCTTGGTAATTTTCAATAATGAATTTTGATATTTTGCTTCAGCCTTTTTGAAGATGGAAAACATTTTTAATTAGGAGCTAGCCTGGACTGTCATTCTGTGTGTCTCTGTGTGTGTGTGTGTGTGTGTGTGTGTGTGTGTGTGTGTGTGTGTGTGTACGTACATATGTGTGTACACACACACATTACTAGGGATCAAACACAAGGTGGTATGCATGCTAGGCGTGCACTGAGCTAAATTCAGTCTTTATTACTCTTTTTTGAAAGGTACTAGGTACTTAGGAAAATCAAGTAAGCTTTTTCCATTTGAAGAGATAAAACATTTTTAATTAGGAGCGAGCGTGTGCTGTGATTCTGTGTGTGTCTGTGTGTGTGTGTGTGTGTGTGTGTGTGTGTGTGTGTGTGTGTGTGTGTGTACGTACATATGTGTGTACACACACACATTACTAGGGATCAAACACAAGGTGGTATGCATGCTAGGCGTGCACTGAGCTAAATTCAGTCTTTATTACTCTTTTTTGAAAGGTACTAGGTACTTAGGAAAATCAAGTAAGCTTTTTCCATTCCTCTAATTATTGGCTTATGTGATTTACCCTCTCCTTCCAGAGCATTTGGACCTTCTTCATTGAGAATAATATTTCCCATAGTACACTAGTGGCTTTATTCTATCACTTTGTCCAATTAGTCCATAAGAAAAATGCCAGTGTACAGTATCGAGAATACGGCCTACGTGCTGCTGGGCTTTATTTTTTGCTACTAGAAATACCAGGTATGTATACATTTGGCCCTCTGTATTCACAAGTTCTACATCTGTGTATTCAACCAGCTGGGTGGAAAAATATTGGAAAAGTGTTGCATTGTTGCTAATGTGTGTTATATACTCAGGCCTACGATGGTTGGATCTGTAACTGAAAAAGGATTTCTAGTTTCTAAACAATACAGTAAGAGCAGTTATTACGTAGCATTCACACTGTATTAGGTGTCTAAAAGTGATTTAAAGTATGCAGAGAGATATGTGTAGGTTATATGTAAATAGTAAGCCATTTTATATAAGGGATTCAAATGCTTTACTATCTCAGATTTTAGTGTCAAGGTTTTGTTTGTTTGAGATGGGGTATCACCATGTGTCCCTGGCTAGCCTAGAACTTGCTATGTCAGCCAGGCTGGAACTCAAAGATTTGCCTACTTCTGCTTCCCAACTGCTGGGACTAAAGGCATGCACTACCATGCCCAGCCTTACAGGCCTGATCTTGAGGACATTTTGCATGTGATCACAGCTGCTATGATGAAGATGATGACTGCTCTGCTTGCAAGATGGCACTCTACAATAGGTCTCATGTTACCTGGGCTGGTCTCCAGCCTTGAACCCCTAATCCTCTGTCTCTTAACTCCCATGTGCTGGGATCATGCCTGGCTGTTTCAGTTCTTTTGTTTCAGTTCTTATACTTTGTTTTCCCACATCTAAAATTAGGCAGAGGTAAGTCATCTAGAGTTTATTTGAAGATTAAACAGTAAGTACATAGCATAATTCTAGGCTCATGGAAGATGCCTTTCCCTTTTTCACCTGTTTTCTGTTTTTTATTTTAATTAATTGATTACTTGATTAATTAATTAATTATATTTTGAGGCAGGGTTCCCTGGTAGCCCCAGCTGACCTGGAACTCACTATGTAGAGAGGCTGCCCTTGAGTTCCTCCTGCCTCTGCTTCCTGAGTGCTGGGATTAAAGGCATGCACCACCACGCCTGGCTCACTTGTTTTCTGAAATCATGCTTTCTCTATAACCCAATACAAATAATCTGAGAGGGATCAGACTGAAGAGAGAATGCTGCTCTCACTGGGAAAAGCCTGACTCTGACTGTCTCCAACCTCAGGATAAAATTCTGATAGTACCCCCTCTCCCATCTTTCTGTTCACATCATGGAAAAACTGTGAGGAGTTAACAGTATTATATCTGTCGTGTGTAGATATTGCAAAAATAAGTTAAAACAGTTCTAATCAAGAAAGTATACAGAGAAAGAGCCAAAAAGTACTGTCTGTAGACACTTTGCCACTCTTCTTGTCCTTTGTTGGAACATGTAGGTGGCTGTTCCCCTGTGGGCAATGAAGAAATCTTATCTTCTGCCCTAAACCAAGGGAAGAGTGAAACAGATAGAGCTGCAGAACCTAAAACTCTTACCGAAAAGAAAATCACACTTAATCAGCTTCCTGCTTGTCATTGTTTATATAGATGCATTTTCAGATTTCTATATGATTTGAGAAAGGTAAAGGCTATCTAATGACTTCTACAATAAGCTTCTAAAGAACTTGCTTGCTAAGTTTTGCAGTATCTTAGTTGCAGTTAGGCTCAGAGAAAGGTTGTTTTAGAAATCAGTTTTTCCCTTCTCTTCTCTTGCCAAATAACATTTTCTTCTGATTAAGGTTGCTGTTTGTGCCAGAGCAAGTAGGTGGCTGTTACAAATTGCGTGGGCCACTTGCAGCTTTTCCAGCAAGCTGTGGTCTTGCCAGTTACCTTCTGTTTTTAAATATTTCTGGATGATGTTTGCCATGCTGTTCTGGGTTCCCTGCATTTCTGTAGGAGTTTTAAGATTTGCATGTGAATCTTTGCAAAATAAGGCAGCTGGGATTTTGACAGGGACTGCATTGGATCTGTAGAACAGTTTGAAGAGTATTACTGTCTTAATTCTGTCCTAGAGTTTCTGAACATGAGATGTCTTCCCATTTACATTAGCTCTTTTAAAATGCATTTCAATGATTTTTTTTATAGCTTTCAGGATACAATTCTTATACTTTACTAAATTTGTTCCTGAGTATTTCACTTTTTTCAAATGAGATTTTTCTATTTATTTTAGACAGGGTCTTGTTATATTTAGCTCAGGCTGGCTTACAACTCTGTATGTACCCCAGGCTAACTTTGAACACAAGATCCTTCTTCCTCATCTTCCCAAGTACTGGGGTTACATGTCTTTATCACTTTATCACTCTGCCCACTGAAATGACTTTCTTTTTTTGTTGTTGTTGTTGTTGTTGTTGTTGTTGAGACAGGGTCTTCCTGTAGCCCCAGTTAGCCTGGAACTCACTATGTAGACCAGGCTAGCCTTGAACTCTCAGAGATCCACCTGCCTCTGCCTTCCAAGTGCTGGGATTAAAGGTGTATACCACTACACCTGGCAAAATGACTTTCTTAATTTCACCTTTTGGGCTGTCTATTAGTAGTTTATAAAAAGCATAGTTTATTTTTTATTGTTATTGATTTTGTATCCCTCTGAACTAATTGGTTCTGAAAGGATTTTCTTTGTATCAAACCTTTTAATAGCCCCAGTTTTGGTTCTTTGGTTCCAATCTGGAAACCTTTTTAAATAAAGTTCTTTTTTAAAATTTTATGTGTATGTGTGTTTTGCCTGCGTGTAAGAGCACCCGTGCCGTGTAGTACCCATGGAAACCAGAAGAGGACATTAGATTCCATGAATGTTTGTTAGTTGCCATGAGGGTGCCTGGAATTGAACACAGGTCCTCTGCAAGAAAGTCAGTGCTCTTAATCACTGAGCCATGTCTCTAGCATCCCCCCCACCTGCTTCTTTTTTTTCCTTAATTACCCTGGCTAGCACCTCCAGTATGGTATCAGTAGAAGTTGAGAATGGGTATCTGTGTTTTGCTCCTGACTATAAGGAAAACATTCAGTCTCTGCCCTTAGATATTGTGATGGTTTGAATGAAATGTCCAAGGCTCCAAGTATTTGGATATTTTGTCCCCAGATGGTGGCGCTGTTTAGGGAGGTTTTAGAAGGTGTGGCTCTCCTGGAGGAAGCATGTCACTGGGGGTGGGCTTAGAGAGTTCTTAAGCCTTGCAGGATCTCCAGTTGCTCTCTTGCTTCCTGTGTCTGCGTGATGATGTGAGAGCTTAGCTTCTGCTGCTCCTGCTCCAGCCACCTCCAGCCACCATGCCTCCCTGCCATGGCAGACTGTAATTCCCCTGGAACTGTAAGCTCAAATAAACTTCCTTCTATAAATTGCTTGGGTCAGTGTTTCTATCACAGCAACAGAAAAGTGACTAATACAGTAATTGGTACCAGAGAGTGGGCTGTTGGCTGTGAAAAATCTGACCATGTGGGGTTTTGAAGAAATGTTGAAGACTTTGGAAGGCTGGGCTAGAAAAGTGGTTGATTGCTGTGAGTGGAGCTTAAGAGGCCATTCTAGTAAATGCGTGGAAGAAAGAAGTGCCGAAAACAATGTCGTTCCAGAGGGAAATAAGGACTTAAGCAGGACTTGGGATATTTTGGCAAAGAGTCTGGCTGGAGTCTGCCCTCAACCTAAAAGCTTGCCTGAGGCTAAGTTGAAAAAGCAATAGACTAATTTCTCTGGCAGAAGAAATTTCAAGACAGCCTAATGTAGAAATGGTGGTGTGGCTATTAATGGTGAATATTATGCAGATCTACAGTGAAAGAGAGCAAATGGGGCAGAAAGAAATACAGTTTGGATTGAAAAAGATCACTAGGAAGATAAATGTTGGAGCCCTGGCATGTGGTGGAGAGGATTCCATTGATAAAGAGATTAAAGTGAATAAGGAGGGGCCTAGAGATTCAAACTTAAACAGTGGAGAGAATGCCACACCCAGTTAAGTCTCCAACTTGTGAAAGGAAAATGCTGCAGGGACCACTGGAGAGAAAAGCTTCTAAAATGGATAAAGCAGGCTGGAGTCCATCCCAAACTTGCAGTCTAACTTGGCATTGTTGTTCACCTTTTGCTGGCTTTAAAGGCATGAAAGATGCAAGAGTGAAGGGGTCGTCAGTTATTTCTCTGCAGTTTCAGAGAGCCAGTGAGGCCAGGCCGTGTGCAACAGGGGTTCCCCTGCATAGAGAAGACCCTGATAGGTTTGTGTGAAGCTGTGAAGGTGAAGTCTGGTTGGTCATGGAGACCCCAAGAAGACATTTGTGATGCCAGAGCTGTGAGGCATCTGCCAAGAAGACCTGCATACAGGAAGTGGTACCAGCCCAAGAGAGAGATGTATGTTGCACACAGCAAAGCTGGAGTGGCTGAGCCATCTAAGCCCTTTGGAAGTAAAAGTCCTAGAAGTCAGATATGGAGCTACTGGATTTAATGTTTGTCCTGCTGGTTTTTGGTCTGGTATTTCCTTCTATGCCTCCATTCCTCCCTTTTGGAATGGTAACGTGTATTCAGTTCCACTGTATGTTGGGAGTATGTAGTTTGTCTTTTGATTTTATAGAGGCTTACGGTTAAGATATTTACCTGAGTCCACTTTGGACTGTGGACTTTTGAATAGTATTGAAACTGATAATGATTATGGGGACTTTTAAAGTTGGACTAAATGCATTTTATATGGTCATGAGCCTATGGGGGCCAGGGGATGGAATGTGATGGTTTGAATGAAAATGTCTCCCATAGGCTCCAAATATTTGGACATTTTGTCCCCAGAGGATGGTGCTATTTTGGGAGGTTTTAGAAGGTGTGGCTATTCTGAAGGAAGCATGTCGCTGGGGGTGGGTTTAGAGAGTTCTTAAGCCTTGCCAGATCTCCAGATGCTCTTTTGGGGGTGGGCTTAGAGAGTTCTTAAGCCTTGCAGGATCTCCAGTTGCTCTCTTGCTTCCTGTGCCTGCGTGATGATGTGAGAGCTTAGCTTCTGCTGCTCCTGCTCCAGCCACCTCCAGCCACCATGACTCCCTGCCATGATGGACTGTAATTCCCCTGGAACCATGAGCTCAAACTCTTCATTCTATAAATTGCTTGGGTCAGTGTTTCTGTCACATCAACAGA